ATTCAGTTACATGTTAACTTGAAGGAAGTGGATTAAAGTACTCACATCAACAAATGAGGATTACCAATATTTGGAATTAGGAAAAAAAATGTTTGGAATTAGAAAAAAAAGTAGAGAAATGAGAGGTCTGGATAACAAAGCCAGAGCTTGCCTATTTAAAAAATATCACTGTTTTGCCACAGGTAAGAGTTAATTATGCTAATTTGCTCCAATCATGTGCCTGCACCTCTCTTTTTCCAATAATTATGTTTGTCAAGTTGTTAAGGGTAACGACCCCATTTTACCATCCGGGGTAAAAAACAATTAAGAATAGGGTGGAGCCTGTTTGCGGGCCTCTCCATGGCCATTTCTTCCAATTTATCTGAATTCACTGATGCTGAGCTGATAAACGGGAATCAAGTGAATCAATGAAAATGGTTGAAATGATCAGTCCCAGCACAGATAAGTAGCTTCATTATATAGATCTATATAAATTGAGGTAACCTCAGGTTCTAGCCACCAAGCAATGTTCTTTTTTAGTTAAAGATGAATATGTGAATGTTTGGGGGAGGGGAGATAGGGGATGCAATTTTGACAAACAATGTCTGCATTTCAAATCAAAGGGAACATTTCTTAAACTGAAACTTTATTAAAAGTTCATTTGAACAACTAGTAAAATGCATAATACTAGACATTTAGAAAATATTTATTAGCATATTAACTTTTATGCTATGTAAATATAATAATGTAGTAAAGTACCAAATTAAAAATTTAAACCATGATGATTATCGCATAAGGCAAGACTAGGAACCTGAATGAGAAAGGGCAGTTTCAGCTGGAGGAATTTACCTTGTGGGCTAGCATCTTGTTTTAAGGGCTGGCCTAGGACACAGCAGTTTCATCTCTCTCCAGTATCAATCTTTGTTAATATCCTTTTTTCTCATCTTTCCCCTTCTCTTCCTTGACACTTATGTGGTGGTCAATGAAATAACAGGCCAGCCTTTGAACCCCTCCTAAACCATGGCTCCTTTTGTCTTTAATTGGAAAGACAAAAGTGAACTGGTTGCCCAAGTCTTTTAAAATGTGCTACCATTACTGTATATAAAACTTTGATTTCATCACCTCTCTACCTGCAAACATTCTCAACCTAACCCTTTCTGGAAAGTTCAGCAAGGGCAAGAAAAAGATCCACAGATATCTTTAGAAATCCTCTCATTTTGACCATGCCAAGCTGTTGTTTTACCCTTTTATTATTTATTGCATTATTTTATTGATCATAGTATGGATTATTTTTTTGTTTGACAGCTTATCCTATACTAGAGGCCCGATGCACGAAATCCATGCAAGGGGCTCAGCCCTTGCAGCTGTGGCGGATTGCCTTGGTCCTTGCAGCCCCAGCTTTGTCCAGAAGGTCATCCAGACGGACATCCGGAAGGTCGTTCGGCTGTCCGGTCTAATTAGCATATTACGCTTTTATTATTATAGATAATAAAAGCCTAATATGCGAAATGTCCAGTCATCTGGTCGGCCATTCAACCAATCAAAGCGTAATATGCTAATGATATGCAAAGGCCACTCAACTGCTCGCTATGATGTGCACTGACCACCAAGGGGTAGACGCTCCAACCGGTAGGTAAGCTTGCTGCTGGGGTCTGGCCAATTGGGACTAAGCAAGACGGGCTGAACATGCCCTGGAGCCCTTCTGCATCCCTCCCCGGCTCCGATCGTGCACCAGTGGGGTCCCTCAGCCTGGCCTGCACCATATTGCAATCCGGGACCCCTCGGAGGATGTTGGAGAGCCAGTTTCAGCCCAATCCCACAGGCCAGGCCGAGGGACCCTACTGGTGCACAAATTCGTGCACCAGGCCTCTAGTGAGTTAATAAAAGGCATCAAGATCCAAAGACAAACAGGAAAAGAAAAAAGAGAAAATAATAGTGAAACAGAGATGTGCATTAAAGAATAGAAGAGCAGAAAGACATGTCACAAAAGTTAACTTTGGGTAAACCTAGGCACAGTTTTTATTTTTTAATTCTCTGGGAAGGATTATATATTTATCTGTCCCAGAATGAAATTTTTCTCAATCTATTATTGTAAGTTTTGAAATATACCTACATCAAGAGGTCTCTGGAAAACATTCTTTTTGCTCCATTTAAGAGCACCTTTGTACTTCCCAGTGTTGATACACACATACTTAGTCTTGAATGATGGTTAATTAACTATTGATGAGTCCTAGCATTCTAGGGCTTCCCAGGTGACAGCTCAGTATTCTTTACTAATCATTTAATGAAAACACTTACATGAATAATGAATCTGGCATTTCCCTAGGTATACATGCAACTTTCTTAACAGTAATAAAGACAGGCATAGGTACAGTTATACTAAATATTGTGGTTTGAAAATGTTTTTACAGAGCAAATCAGAGAGGTTATGTTGAAAATGAAGCTCTGGTTTCTGAAATTATTAAAAGTTTCACATTATCACCCCAGTAAGTTCAATAAAAAAGAAAAATAAATAAATGACGGAACACTGAAAAACTCTAAAAAAAGTTTCACATCAACATATAGCATTATATCATAAGCACATAATATTAGAAGTATAACCATTACTTGCTATGTAAGCCCCAAATGGAGTAAGCATAATTTAGATTTTAGTAATCACAATTCTAAATTTGAAAGTTTGAATTGAAAGAAACATACATATCTATAAACACTTATACACTCAGACTATATATATCTGTATGTGTGTGTGTGTGCTTGTGTGTATGTGTGTGTGTGTGTGTGTGTATATATATATATATGTATATATATATATATATATATATATATATATATTCCACGTTCAAAGGCTGTGAAGTCGCGTTGTTTAACCATATATTCAGAAAAAAATCACTTCTACTGTCATGGTAAACAACCTGCTTCCCTATTTACAATGGTCTGGCCCTCTAGCAACTTCAGCACAAAATTATAGCTAATTTGCCTACAAACATCAGGTGGTCATAATAATCTGGCCACTCAGTGTATATATACATATAGTGATTATATATAGTGTCCAAAATGTATATACACACTTTGAATAATTATAAAGGCAGTGTTTATTAAAATACATTTTATTTTTTAAATTAAATTTATTGGGGCAACACTGGTCAATACGAACATATAGGTTTCAGGTGTGGGATTCTACGTTACAGGGACTATATATTGCACCATGTTCCCAACATTTCATTTTCAAAATTGAGCTATCAGCTGTTAGAGTGTGTATACATATTTTGGGAATATTCCATATATGGTGCAGAGAAAAAATATGATTAAATTGTCTATGAAATTTGTTCTGCTTCTCAGAATTGAAACTTGTCATCATTTGGTCTAATTTTACAGATGAGAACATGGAATCTTTGACGTTAGGATTTAGCTCACACAAACCCATGATTGCTGTGCTGAACACTGAACTAGCGCTGAGGTAACTTGGCATGCCAACACTTTCAATACAATTTCAGTAACCCCTTTGATTCAGTGCCATCCTGGTCCAAGTTGACATCTGCTTTGGAGAAACTAGGTTACTACAACCAGTTATTTGAACAAATTTGAAAAAAATGTTTTTATAAATTGTTCCAGTGGAAGGATATTATGGAAACAGACATTACAAACTTTTAGGAAAAAATCGGTTTTTGGAGTCAGAAGCCGAAACTTTGTCTTGTTACCATCTATTATGTGACTTTGGACAAGTCATTTAACTTCTCTGATCCTCAGTGTTTTCATTCGTACAATTAGAATTATGGCACTTGTGACACTTGTAGTTCTTGGTTGTCATGTATTACTTATACTACACACTATTACTATTACTGTGACCACTACTTCTATCAATACTCAAAGCCTTCTATGTGCTCAAACTCTGTGATTTGCTTGTATGCCTTAGGACTATATCACACCCTCACACAGTCCCGTAAGCTAAGTGGTCTGATTTTCTCATCACAGATGAAGAAACATCTCCATGTGGTTAAATAATATGCCAAAAAGCACACAGTCATTAAGAGCTTGAATGTGAATTTGAATCCAGGCATGACTCTAAATTTCAATTTAGATCCTCTATATCCTGGTTTCCTCTAATACACTATATATATTTGTGAGTATACACAAATATACATAATGTAAATAATAATACATAGTACATAGAGATATGTTACTCATCTGATGCACACACACATACATACATACATGTTTTAAATTCTAAAATGCTATACCAATTTTTTTAAATGTTAAGGCTTAATATGTGAAACTGAGTAGGTACTTAGTAGTTAATATTTAGGGGAAAGGAATTAATATATGGTAAATAACTAAAATCATTTTGAGTAAACTGTTAGTTAACACATGTCAGCAATAACAGTGGCTATTTAAATCCTCATCTTCTTCAAGATTATGTTATTAAAAATTATTCTAGAGAAAAAATGTAAGTGGACTAGCCATAGGTTCAAATCTAAATACAAAATTGACAGAGACAGAAAAAGAGCTGTTTTCAGTAAGCAAGGGCTGAAATCTAACCCTATGGACTGAACAAAAGAAAAGAGAAAAGATCATTTTAAAAATTACATGTGGTTCTGATTGTTCAAAGTGGTAACATAATACTTTCCAAATTTGAAATTTCAAAAAAGCTATTCCATACTTTCCTATCAAAACAAAATAGCAATACTTGCTATTTTTATTTCTCTTGACTATTGTATATGAATAATAATAATGATGATGATAATTGGATAATGACATTCAGAATGAACAACTTTTTCAGAATTAAGGAGAAGGGGCAGGTGGTATCAGAAAAGATTCACAGACGTCTTATTTCTAATCAAAACACGTTTTTTTTCAACTATGTAATCTCCTTCCAAAGAACATCAGGCTGAATGGAAAGATGCCGACACGTGTGCCAGGTCAGGGCTAGAATGACATGTCTGGGGAACAGGAGATGCCGCTATTTCCATTATCCATTGAACACCTTGGCAATTCTTATTTCATCCTGAGAATGTGATACTTACTCTTGAACTGCTCTGGCTATGGAAAGGGCCGTAGATCCAGTTTCATTAACGCTATCTAAGGTCACATTTGGCAGGTCATCATCATCACTGTCACTTTTACTTTGTCTGGGAGATAGGCCTCGGGGGTCCATTTGTGCTGGGGAAAAAAGGCATATATATGAATTAAAATCAGCATGCAGAAAGTTAACCTTGTCCTGGACCAACACCAAGCATGGAAGGTCTCTTCTGTGTATATCACGCACACGGAATTCTCTAGAAATCCCAGGAATTAGTGAAAGCGACGTATTTTATGTACTGAGCGCTCACTGACTCTTTTCCCTGGTTCATTTGATTTACGAAACCTTCATCAGCTCTCAATAGTTTCAGGATATGACTATCGAATATAAACTATAAAATCCACGATATTATCTACTCCTGAGTGGTCAGAAGCTAATTAGGTAGCTCACAAGTTAGTGCTGGACCCTCTGGCTTCTCCTTGCTTCTGCTGCCAGAATCCTGGCCACCTTACTGCTCTGGCTTACAGCTCTCATAATCAGCTGACAGAAGAACAAGGCTTGCAAGACTCAAAGTTTTAGGTACTTTTCATACTTCAGTGAATGACTATCTTCAGTTTTTTACTACAATTTGAATAGAAAAATGACAGAAGCAGTAGTAGTGTTTTTAATTATGTGCTTATATGTGCTAAAAAGTACTCTTTGTCTCCACCCTGATTTCATTTTTCGAAAGGGCATTTCCAGATACAATTCTCCCCGCCCCCCCAATGTGAACTTGCCAAAGCAAGAAACGCCCCACGACCTGAGCCCTGATGACGAGGACTTTCAGATCCTTTCAAATGAGAGGATTATAGTCAACATTTCATACCTTAACTCATATTTAAAAAAATTAGATTGCATTTCCACCTTCTTCTCTCTATGAACAGCTTTAATAACCATGGTGTAGGATTTCCATCAGCCCTCACCTCAAGCACAAAATACACACATCTTCCAAATTAAAAGTACTGCACTCGCTGCCAATGGCATTGTTAGAATTAGTGGCTTCAAAGCCAGCCAGTTCCAAGCAGATTGCCACTCCTCAAAATGCCCAACAACATTTCTAAAACCACTGCTGCTTACAAAAAGCAAATCCACTTAAAGTCATGGTTACAATGACATCTGGGTATATTTACAATTTCATTTTTTTTCTCAAAACATTTTTTCTTACTGTGTATCATGCATTAGGTAGATCATCAGGAAAATGCTAGTATTTCATCATATTTTACACACAAACAATTTTTTATGATTCTACCTAACATTTAAAATATGAATAGAAAAACTATACCTAGAGAGTTTCAACATGTTTGTAACTAAACGTGCTTAGGAAGGAATGTATATCTGTAGAACCTACTGCCACACATTATTCCTGTAAGTATCCACATATTCAAATGTAGTATTAACAATGAAAGTTCTTGGTAATTGTTGGCTAAATTAAAGAGAAAATAACTCAAATAACCTAAACTAGTGATCCTCAAACAAAGGCAAATTTCTCCCCAAGAGACATTTGGAAATTTCTAGAGACATTCTAATTTGACACAACTTGGGGAGAGGGAGATGTTACTGGTATCTTCAATGATACTCCTGGACATCCCACAATGCACATGACAGTCCGTCCCCCATGACAAAGAATTAACTAGTCTAAAATGTCAAAAGTGCCAGGTTAAGAAACTATGAGTTAGAGATTTTTTTCTTAATATATTTTCTTGATATTTTACAGAGAGGAAGGGAGAGAGATAGAGAGTTAGAAACATCAATGAGAGAGAAACATCGATCAGCTGCCTCCTGCACACCCCCTACTGGGTATGTGCCCGCAACCAAGGTACATGCCCTTGACTGGAATCGAACCTGGGACCTCTCAGTCCGCAGGCCGACGCTCTATCCACTGAGCCAAACCGGTCAGGGCTATGAGTTAGAGATTTAAGGGTTTGGATATAGAAACTAGAAAAGATATTAAGTCATAAATTGGACTATCCATGTTTTCTGGCCCTCAAATAAAACAATACACTGTTATGTGACTTAGCCCTCACCAATTCCCCATATACTAGTACATACAGCATTCGCTTCTGCAAATGCCAGGAATTATGCAGTAACACAATTAAGAGTTTTTGAATGTTTTCTTTGTCCCACACATGGTGGGACAAAAAGACTTTGTGTCTGATCTCTAGAGAAGATTTCCTAGAAGAGGGATGTTGGATAAACTCTTTCTAGAAAGGACCAGTTCTGCAACCATCTGATAACAGAGAACTGCTTAAGCATCAGCCACTCCAAAGGCACTGAGGCACTGGATCATTTAAGATTTATCTTGGCAGCAGGCAACAGAAACGGGCTCAGAGTAACTTATAGTAAACAGAATGTACTGGAAAGATACTGAGTAGCTCAAAGAAAGTAAGGTCAAGATGAACAACCAGCATTCATGTAGCACAGGTCACAGGGATCATACAGGCATTACAACCAGGAATTCACAGATAGTTTCTTTTGGGCAATCTGTTATAGAATGATTCTGTTACCAATCATTCATAACTACCCAAACGCAGCCAAAAAGGAGTAACAGATCTATGTAGGCTTCTGAATCACATATTGTGTGGTGTTATGTATGCCTGTAAATGTCAACAATTTAACATTTAAAGTTGTTGAAACATGATGCACGAAGATTCCTTTGCCAAGATACCAACTTAACAGCTAGCTAAAGATAAGGGAATATTCTGGTGGTCCTATTTTGTCCAAGAAAACTAGCGTTATCATAGGTAAGTAATACAACTCAAGGGAGATAGGGCAATTAGCCAATAAGCAACCTGACTGAAAGTTAAAATCTAGCCATACAAAAGACTCTAAAGAGCTGGTGTGAGAGTTGATCATCTAAATTATGTTATGTTTATATCTCAATGAAAGTTTAAAATATGTTAAATATGATGTCCTTTTTTGGATGTACTTTTCAGGAACATTATAATTGAGGATTTCTTTCCAATATTTTCAATCAATATTATGAAATACATCTGCTCCCATCATGCTGAGAAGCTCTTTTTACCCATACCTTCAGCCAAGTTGAGGCAGCAATTAGAAAGGCTTTTTGAAATCTGCATTGCTGATTAGGTCAGATGATTAGCTTATCTGCATACTTGCATAATTCCATTCTCCTTTGATGAAATGTGGGGTAGGGACATCTACCTTCCTTAACCTCCATTAGTCTCTGAGTTTCTCAGTTCATTTAGGAAGCACCCATTCACTGGGGTGCCCATTCAGAGAAAATGCAAAGGTAACCTGAGCACCAGAACCAAAACCATATCCACCTCCCTAAGTAAGAGAGCAATAGACGACCTGCAGGCATCTGAAAGGAATTTACATTTGAGATTCCGTTCCTTTTAAAGGAAAAGGGATCAGGCAGCTGGGAGAATACCAGCCCATGGCTGGTGGAGGTGTCCGGTCTCTGAGTTGGAGGAGTTGTGAAATACTGTGAGAGCTTCACTCGCCGTGACGAAATCCCTGGAAGGGTAACTGCAGAACTCCAACACCTCAAGTTGAACCCATTTACTCTGACTTTCAAAAACATACTTAATGGTAAATTGTTTCTGTAAAGATCACCCCAATGAATCATGATAAATGACTTATGCTGAACCTGCTGGCTTGGAACCTGGTCACATCTGAAGAAGCCCAGGAAAACCTAAGAGACAAGCTGCTCCGCTGGCAGCCAACCCCAACTGATGTGAGCCATGCTGGATGGACCGACCACATCGCAGCCACCCATGTGCATGACCAGCATAAGCATTTCCTGGCTAAACGCATTCCAAATATTTGACTTACAAAACTGTGAGTGAATAAAATAGTTGCTATTTTAATCTATGAAAGTTTGGGGTGCTTTGTTACACAGCACTATAGCAATACAAAAATCAATGCACCATGCTACTCTCCCGGCTCCTTCAGAGATTTCCTGGCAATGACGTGGACAAGGGGCTACTACCGTTAGAGTCAGCCTATCACACTCCTCTCTGTCCTCCTCCTAAGAGGAAGCCTGGCCTTAAGTGGCATACATTTAAGTGAGCGATTAATATGAAAAAGAAAAGCCACATATTATCTCTGACACCATTTCCTTCTCAAGTCAAAATATGCAGAATGTATTTACAGGCACTTTGGTTTTGAAGCATCTTCTTTGATCCTTAGCTGTGCCTCAGGTGGGCTTCTCCCAGAGGGGACCATCGGCCAGCATTACTGCTCAGGAGAACAACTCATAGCGGACAGGAGGCTCACCTGGGTGGATCCTCCCAGGTGTGTGGTTACCCCAAGTCTGGTACATTTGTCTCTCTTCAATGCACCTGAGACATGTTCCCTTTCCTTTCCCCCGGGTCACAGTGGACTGGCACCGACACAGGGACCTCAGTGCATTCTCACTTCCCCCACCTCATCCAAGGCACTGCCAAAAGGTTCAACACTCTTCCAACTTCCTTAGACTTCAATAGGCCTATTCAGCTATTCTTAAAGGAAAGGAAGTTTTTCCTTCAGTCACCATATTAAATATGTACAAAAAACAATCTATGAACATACACTGAAATTTACAAAGTAACCTTTTCTAACCAGAATGAATCACAGAAGGAATTATTCAAGCCCATTTACCTCCACCATCAGGGCTGGAGGGGAGAGGGCGGAGGGACACAGATGGACAGAAGGGTGCGAGGCAGCCGGCGGCTGGAGTGCTGTCAGCCTTTCTCCCCCCTTCAGTCACTGACAGGCTGCCTGCCACCCACAGATGCCCTCATTGTTCGCCCTGCCAAGGCTGAAGCATGGCCCAGTTAGAGAAGCCTCGGCTGGCTTCCAGGAGGGCGGTTGCTGCTACGAGAAAGAAGGGCAGTGGGAGAAGGGGAGGGAAGGGAAAGGACTGTATGGGGAAGAAGGTGCAGGGGAGAGGTCACAGCATCATGGCATCAGAGAGTAGAAGACTATCCTTTTAGGAGCAATTCCTGCACTCATCTGGTGCAGAAATTGTTCCTAAAAGGATAGTCCCAGTGTTTCTTTAGGATGAAAACAGAGCTCTGGCTTCAGAGAACCTGGGTGTGACTTCTGGGCCTGTCACTTGTCTGACCTGGGGCAACTGATTTCCTACAGCTCATCCAGC